AGCGGGCAGAATCGTTACACTCATTCAAAGGACCTCCGAGCATGGAACACCGACCAGAAAACGTGGTCATTTGGTGAGGCACGTGACGGAAACGCAACTTTAATTTTGAGATCTACAGAGTTGTGATACAGGATCGTGCCACCTTTGAATAGGGCTTGATGTGCGTCCATGTAATTGTTCGCGCGTCAGCTTCATTCCAGGAACAATGGGATTCGATGCTCTCAAGTCTGTGGGAATCACTCGTACTCCGCATCCCTATCTAGGCCTAGCTCAGGCAGGCCGTGGGAGCGTCCCGGATGCGAGGCGAGGCCGGATTCCCTTTTGAACGGCACCCCCTTGCCCCTCTCGCGTCATCTGCCACAGGCACACCTTTTGTGATCTTCATACTTGGACGCGTCCGCCCCTCCGGGGAGCCAACCTACAATCGACCACCATGTGCGCATCTATACCCGCAGGCTATACAAGTCGGCAAAAGTAACAGCCAAGCAGCGACTCTCGCTGGGTGGGGGGGGGGGGGGGGGGGGGGGGGGCTCTGCTCGACAAAGTCTTCCTTCCTTCCTCCCTTCCCTTCCAAGATACTTTCAGTAGCGACAGTAAAAGTCAAAAGCGTAGTCAAAAAAGACAGTGCTGTTATCTCGGACCTTGCTGGCTCTCGGGCAAACGTGTGCGTATTCGTCAATAAACACGAAATTATCCAGACCCAAGGAATTTACTTTGTTTGTACGTGGTACCCCTAAAGGGAAACCCACAAGTCGTATTTAGGAAAACGCGGCTCACTGTCACAGCTGTTAGCGTTCCTACGAGACAGTGTGCCCAAATGGAAATAAAAAATAAGCTGTTTGAGCAAGGACAGGTGTTTTTTTTTTTTTTGTAAATAAGCATTGGAAGCCGTTTGGTCTAGTAGCAACTAACCTTCATGTGAACGTAGCAAATGCAATCTAAAGCCTTTACCTGGCATCATGTCAGTCGCCATGCTTGTTCACTGTGGCTTCGGGAAGGACAGCTGGCAGCATTAAGAGCACCGGCCACACAGCGCGGGCGCTGCCACTGTTGTGCGGGCTCGGCAGCCGCATTGTCATGTGGCACACCAGTGCCCCCCCCCCCCCCCGCCCCCAAGCTGGAGGTACGGGCTCATTGGTTAGCGGGTGCAACACCAGTGCCCCCTCCTGCAACGAGAGGCCGAAGAATATCCTGTGACAGCATCCACGAGTTGAGATGTACAGAGCACAACGCAGAGAAAAAAACAAATATTACTGCAACCGAAGCGATACAATTTGTTGTTCGACACCTGACTGCAAGTATGAAATGCGAAACAAGTGAGGATGTCATACCTGTGCTGTTTTTTATGTGTGTGGAAAACGCTGGAGTAGCCCAATGTGCTCATCGATAAGAGTCATATTGCAAACACATAATTTTTCAAATTAATAACATACTTCAACCCAAATTAAATTTGTGCCGGCTTAATCATGCCGGTACAATGCGCTGGTTAAACTCGCAAATAAATGACAATCGTTGCACAATAACACGCACACTTGAAAAAAGACAGCGGTTAACAACTGTACTCAAGCACGTCTCATGATCACAAAATGGCGTTTCTTATAATGTCAGAATTAAGAAATGAGAGGCTGTAGTCAATTAAACCAGCACACGATTTTTTGTTTCTTCAAAAGATGAGCACGCAAGGAGATGAGTTGCTAGGTCTAACATACATTTTAAACTCCTACTAAGCGTAACTTCTACGTGCACTAGTGTCAGTTTCATGCGTCGCGCTTTACTGATACGCCCAGGTTGCCTCTCTAACCTCCTCAAGAAAGGGACCGCAGCCCCCGGCTAGGGTTGTGTGGCGCAACCAGAATGTTAGCTGCGTAATTTTCATTTGGATAAAGCACAAGAAGCACCAAAGATGTCGGCACAAGAAGCACCAAAGATAGCGTCCATTCACTGTCACTGCTCAGCTACAGACTCGACAGTAGCGTGCCTGACTAGCTCCTGCAGGCGCTGCAGGTGGCCCCAGCGAACTCGCCTGCAGAATTATTTAGTACACACGTCCTGTCATGTAATTTTTCGAACGCATTCCGTTATTCTGCCGGAATATAGAAACTGATTAGACATCTGTTGCGTGGATGTCCCGCTTCTTATCGGAGTCTGTTTTCTCCTACCTAGACTTACCGTTGTCCCAACACTCGTGGGTCAACATTCGGCTGGCGGTTATACTCGGTGCAGTCTCTTCAAGACGTCAGTATTAGCTTCTTTCGGGAAGTTTACTAGTAGTAGCACGAAGAAGCACCACTCCTTCGTGTAAACCACTCACCCCTTCTTTTCACCTTCATTGAACGACATCGCAGTAGGGCAAGGCACTCTAGTAGGACTGTGGAGAAAGAGGAAGGGTGTAGAAGATGCTAGTTCTAGGCGGTGACAGCGATGCATATAGGCGGTGAGACCAGTTGTGACGGCGAAGAACAGGCGGGACGGCGAGACGCAGAGACGACCGCCCGAGACGAAGAAGCGGAGAAGCAGCCGCCACCGTTGCCGGACTGGACAACGCTTGTGGCTGTTTCAATGAAAACCGGCTACTACGCATAAAACTTGCGCGCTGCGAAGCAGAAATCTCGAAGACTCCCAATTCTATGTTAGTCAAATGTGTCCCTTTAAATAAAATGAACTAATATGTTCATAATTCACACCACAATAGTCTTCTTTACTTAACAATTTACGACAACCTCGTAACCAGACGTCTGTCACCTCTTTTCGAGCTTTCTCAAGTGGAGGTAGTTTTCTCGACGAGTTCCTCATCCAAAGGAACGCCGAGGCGCCTCTATAAAGCCCGATGGCTCCTCGAGTGGAGGCGAGCTTCTACTCTCCACTCCAGTGAGGCGAGATGAGATGTCAAGTCAAGGCCCGTTTACGAATACGGCCGTAAGAACATGCATTTTCTATGACCTGAGCGCTTTGCAAATGATTGAGAATATTCTCTCAAAAAGGCTTCATTGTAACATTCAAGATAATATTCCGAACCGCGACGCACGTCGGGTGACGTCTGTAAAGAATAATTAGCAAATCAATTACCTAAACTTTACTTCTTGATTTTCGAAATCTTCGGCTTAATTTCCAGAGTCTGACAGATTTGTGGCCCTCCGACTATATATTCCCTAGGTGCCCCTGAGTGCCAGATAACTGAGTTATGCTTCTTGAAAATCGTTGGAAAGTTCAAACTGTAAGAATAAACAGATACCAACAACAAATGCTGGTTCTGGTATTTACTTTTTAGTGTGACTGACCGTGTCACGACATTGATGGAAGCGCTTGTATTCTAGTTGTGAAAATATTGAACACGGTCTGTGTTTCTATATGCAGAGCACCTTCATCCAATGCTGCAGAGATTATCCGAATACTGGATGATGCATTCGATTTTTTATCAACGTCTACGTCACAGTCATTCCTCAAGATATACTGTATATATATATAGAGAGAGAGTATTTCCAGTCATTGACAAGAAAGGGAATTAAGGCACTTAATTACTGCGAATGCTTTAACAGTGCAATATCGCTGCTAAGCAGCGTTACCTTGAGCGCTGCGAGGTCTTTCAGCATCTGCATAACAATATTGGACGAAAAAGAAAAAAACAACAAAAAACGGCTGTCTCATTAGTTTTGAAGGCGTTTTTACGTTTCTTGTATGAAGGACATATGCGACTCATTAATTGCGACGAACCTCGTTCCCTCCCTCAGCTCTGAGTCCTGGCAGAACCAGACCACATTGCTCCTCTGTCCCTTGACAAGCACTGTTTGTTTTCCGGCGTTTCATTGGCCCACGATCAGTGGGCCAATCAAACACCAGAAAACAGCCGTAGCAGGCCACCGCTCATGGTCAGCGATGTCCTTTTCATATCCTCATGAGCCGCGATGCGGAATTGTTGTACAGAATGTGTGCCTTAGTTTGATGTCTTTTCGAGCACGGAACTTTTATCAGTTCTTTTTGGCACCCTCGTGTAATTTAGACAGCCTATCTTTTTGATTGAATAGAGCGGAGAATGAATCAGTTTTCACAATTGAAATATGAAAATAGGACAAGTGATAATAAAAGCTAGAAATAATGTTAAGTTAACTAGGTTGCGTAATATTGCTTTCAATGTTTACTCTCATGTGCACCATAGTTGAAAAGAGCGTACCAAGAAGTGGTTCTTTTATTTTGTCTTTTTTATTCTTCCCAGTCGATGGTGATACCCGCTATACATTTGATTTGCTTAAAAGAAGTCATGACGACAATACTTTTAGTTAATATAATTTATCTGTCAATACAAATATTTTTGTTTCTCTTTTAATTGTCACTTCATTCAACCTCACAATGAATGCAATATATCAGTGAAACCAATCCAAAGGAAACCAGGAGAAACGTGAGGAATCGTCGCGTACGGCGATCCCCCCCCCCCCCCCAAAAACAAAAATATCAGCGCTTATTTAAATATGCTCACATTAAAATGCATTCCTTTGGTAAAAGTTGAGGAAGCGGTCTTGCCTAATATTTGGGAAATGCTGAAGGTACTACTGAACACCACAAAAGTGATGCTATCAAAAATTGTAACTTTTTGTTAGAAAAACATGTGTTATCCTTTGAGAAAATCGACAAATTTCCAAAGGATGGCTGCTCCAGCTGGTCATACGGAAGACACGTAATTTTGGGCACGCTCAAGTTCAAGAAACACATTGCTCCTTTAGGAAGTTCACGAAATCAGCGATCAAGCACTCGTTCAAACATATGTTGGACAGTGCATCAAACGCAACTGTGCATGAAAAAAAACTTGTTGCAGTTTGCAGATATGAAACAACATTGGATATTAAATTCGAAGTATGATCATATAAGTGCCGAATAGACTGTCCCTAGAACTTCCCGAAAAAGCTACATCGTTACAGAATAGTGTATGTGAAAAAAAGCAGTCGGACCGTCTTTAGGTTTTCATTTAACTTGATAAATTATTTAGGAGTATTGAAGGAGCAAGACGCTTTTGCATGCTTAAGACAACTTTTTTTTTATTCTTGAAACTCATTTGTGTGGATAGGTCGAAGTCTTGTAGGTTTATATTCTGGCTGATGGGTCCCCTGAAAGAGTCACGAAAATATTATGAATTTGAAATGTAACAACACCATGAATTGGCATACGCTGCAAGACTTGATTTTTTAAATATGGCTTTAATCTTTAAATGAACATGGGCCGGCCGAAATAAGCAAACTACTTGTAAATATTCTTTTTAGCCTCTTATGAGTGTCTTTCTCAAGAAGATACTTGACCTCAACGGTAAAGAAGAAATGCGTTAACTTTCATCACAATATTCTTAATGTCATGTGAAAGTGACACACAAACTCTCTCAACTTGAACTTAAAAAAAGTGTAGAAATATTTTTGTTGACATAGTGACGTAGATCTTATACTACGTTTTTGTGTCAACTGCTTTTTGCAGACTCTGCTATCTCATCCTTTTCATCTGTTCTTGGTACGGAACAGACGGCTTCGTTGGTAAAACCATGTCAGACTTATTATTACACTGATTTATTCATGACAAGGCCATGCTACCCTTTCTACGATTTCTTGCATTTCTTGCAAATTTATGTCTCATTCATAATGATGACGAAGAAGCTAACGTCCCCCTTAAATTATCAAAATGCAAATTACTTTTGAACGAGTTATATGACAACATTTTTCCTTAGTCTTCCTCTACGAACGCTGACGTAGACAAAATGTGCATGCATTCATTAGCCGGTTCGTGTAATATTGTAGGCATTGTAGACATGGTTAGGATAAAGCAATGATTTGTTTCTTTCAGACAAGTGAAAAACTTAGTTAGCAACATCTAGTGTAGCATATTAGAAATTGTGCGTGCGGTGATTCGGCATTCTTTGTCGAACTAAATTGATTAATAAAAACTTCAACGGAGATGAAGGCATCATTATGAGTAATCTTTCAATTAAGAAAGGTAAACAGTTGAGATTTATTTATATTTTCGTGAAAACTTCACCAATTTCTCACTGAATAAAGTTAGTGTAGAGGTCCTCCATTGAGAGCGTCATACGAATATTTTATGAAAAGAATTATTTATACCTGTGCAAAAAGCAGTACGGCTCAGAGGAAGAGGTTAGCCGTGAAATCCACCACCGAGTCCTCCGTACTGTCCACCATAGTTTCCGCCGTAGGAACCGCCGTAGTTTCCACCGTAGCTTCCTCCGTAGTTGCCGCCGTATCCATGTCCAAAACCACCACCGAGGCCACCAAGGCCGTAACCGCTACCAAGACCGCCATGTCCAAGGCCACCGTATCCGAAGCCACCGTGACCTCCACCCAGACCGTATCCTCCACCAAAGCCTCCCTGACCCAGGCCGAGACCGCCGTGGTGTAGGCCAGCCGACGCCAGGGCAATGGCGACGCAGAACAAGGCCAGGGAAAACTGTAAGGCAATATAACAAAGCCATCTTAAGACAATGGTTTACAGTAAAGATATGGAAGCACCAAGTTTATTATGGGATTTTTAGTACCATTGATTTGATCAAGGAATATACGTTGCGCGTCGTTGCCCTGTCGGCTTTGGTGGTTCTTTAGTTTTGACTATTCTACAGTTTTTGAAGTATAGCACTTGGATGCGCATTATTATACTAGTCGTGTAAGATGTGAGCTACATTATTCTTGACTGCGATAATTTTGCCCGTTCTTAACTTTTCGCAATTAGTGCTTAACCATAGAACTACTTAAAAACAAACCTAAAATGGCGGAGTGTGATAACTTGATATAACCATAAATAATGGTGTTAAAATTCACATGTCTAACAAACGTTCACCTGTTTTCTACAATTTCACTGCCGGTTTTGTAATTAAGAATACAATTTTTGCTGCATGCTAAAACTGATTTCTGTGAATTGTAGAGATCTTCACCATTAGAACACCAGTAACACGAGTAACATATATAAAATGGAAGATTAGGTGGTTTAAATTATATTGAAAACAACCTTAATTGAAGTTAATTTTGGTAACAAGTACCTCATTTTAGTGTATATTACTTCTTTGAAGAGCTCCGGTGTTGCGGTACTTTTGTTCACGTAATTTGACTTGGTCATTGAGCAAGTATTTGTTTAATACCTCCAAGGATTTACATGATAGTAGCGCAGAAAATGTTGCAGCATTAGACTGATTCACTCTGACGCCTTTGACAGTGATTGATGCACAGCTTACCACAGCCTTCATGGTGATGTGCGTCGGTGAATGCTGCAAACAGTCCTGTTGCACTCTATGATAATCTCAATCAGAACTCCAGTCCTTTTATAGGTATAGATTTCCTTATACGACGTGCGGATTCTTTGGCGTTTGTTAATAAAGCCCTAACTCGTTTCTAAGCGCGTTCAACCACTATTTTTTTGTCTTTGATGATAGGGAATCTCACGGCTCCTGAGAACTATAAAATATATATCGTCTCGCCAAGTTTTATTATTTATTTTTCTACTTCAAAGTTCACTGCTCTACAAACCAGAGTGCGAGTGAGATAATATATGCAAACGTATTTCTAGCGATTCTTTTTTTGTCTAGTTTCAATTGGCAGCTTCGTTAAGCTTACCTACAGAGTTCACATTTGAGCCAGTCGTCAAAGTATCAACGTAAGCTGTAATAGCATACGTATTCAGAATTAGTATGGTACTATAGCATACTAAATGGCTCATGTTATCAACGAAGTCTGGCGCTCTAAGTTGTTGTGAAATACGCAAAGGGGTGGAAGACGAGACAGAGGTCAGGTAGAAAAATTACTAAGGCACAATTTAATATATGTATGTATGTTTTTTGTAACTCCCTCAGTATGCTCAGTTAATGAGGCAATTTACCATGGTATGTTGACCTTTAGATGGACACGAAAGGAGCAATAATATGGTCCATAAGATGAAGAAGTCAGGGCAATATTTTTTTCTGTTAACGGTATACGAGTGAAATTACAGATAAAGGTTGAGTATTTAAGAGAAAAATATATCCCTATATTATGTTTGTACCGATTAGGAAACAAAATATGTTAATATGAAATTAAAAGTTTATGTTAGAAGAACTCAGGTTGTATAGTACCTGCAGTTGGCAGTATTTCTGGTACAAGTACCTGAAAAGTAGCATTGCAATTATCTCAAGTGTACAAGGTATAAAAAATACTATTGCCAGAACTTCCAAGGGGAAAAAAGGCCTGGGATAAACTCTGTGCAACCATGAAGTTGTTCAGTGCAACACGTGCAGGACACTTCCCCAATTGAGCACATCGCAGCCTGAGAAGATGTTCACGTTAAAGATTATGAACTACGTTTAAGTGTATTTCACACGTTAGTTTGCATTTAAATTTTTTATTTAGATATTTTTTAATACATTCGCTGGTGGTTTTGCCTTTTGAACCTTTCGAATGCGAAACCTGTAATTTGGCCATCAGAAACAGGTTTCCCCCAGGGCGGTTGTTCATGGAAAACTAATTCATTATATAACATCAATCAGTCGGGACTCATAAAGCAATACCTAAATAATGGGACATAGCTATTAAAGCTATGGGACGTTTTCGCAGTCTGGATGCAACGTAGAGCAAAAATAACTAACAATGACGCTTAGTAGTTGGGTATGATATTCATTTAGGATACCTTTATTGCAATGTGCAGATATTAAAAGCCGAGGATTCGAATTTTGTTGCCCTGACATTTTCTTTAGAAGGTCATTAGGTTTCTTTTAGGGTTTTAATTTGGACCGTGCTGGCCGTTTTTGAGATTAGTGCAGCCACGCCTAAATATATCAAACCGGCAAATTGCTGTTGCATATGACAGTTGTGGAGATTGTATGTTTCCAACAAATTGCCTCCAAATAAATTGATATTGTAGGCGAGTTCTCGTCTAACTGTATATTCGCTCACGTCATGGTCATGTCCGGTACCGTGGTAGTTCAGCCGGGGTCCGGTTTCGCAGGACTATTTCCTCGTCCCCGTGGTTGGGTGGCTTGGAGCGATCACGGCCAACGGTCGACAGCGCCAGCAACCACGGAGGCGGCACAGTGGCGACAAATCCGTGGGTCCGATTGAGCAGCCAGGTACACTCGTCCTCGTTATCACATCGCTACCCTTGTTCGCAGCGCCTTCCTTGCACAAGTGATTCTTTTCTTTGGAGATAAACCAGCCCAATCTCGGGAACTAGGTTATGTGACGTCGGGCGGCGCGGAGAGAAGAAACCACGGGGGAGGAGTAATACGGGACGCGACTGGGAACACCGCAAAATGTCCCCACACAGTGCCATTTCCCAAGAAGTACGCGATAACCACGCTGGTGATTTCACCTGATTCAAACGGCCTTTCAACTCGAAAAGCATAATTGCTTGATGCCTTTCGATGATGCATGATGATGCAAAAAGGATCATCATGAAATACATCGGCTTTAGGAGATAATCTAGTAGACAAGAGAGGGCGAGTTTTTCTAGTGAAAGATAAAGTTTCGTTGCGCCCCACTCTATTTCTCCTTTGACCTTTCCTCTTTGCTACTACATACAACTTTTCCCGTGACCATCGCAGAGGAAACAGCACATTCAAAATCAGACTTTAGGCGTCCTTATACAACACCGGTTTCTGTCGTGTGTCGAATTCCACTTCCGGACGCAATAGCGAACGGACGTGTCATCCTGTACTCCGTCGGAGCGGTATCAGCGGCCCAAGGCCGCGGTAACAGGAACACGGAATTTGATGCCCAGGAGTATCAAGCAATTTTTCCGCAACTTCCTACAGGTACGAAAGTTTTGAATACCGTTTTCTTTTTTTCTTTTTTTACACGCCGACGTGAGAGGAATGTCCTATCGCCTGGAACATTTCCGGGACGCCCTGGTTGGTTTGGGGGTATTCTCCGGGGTGATTGCCTTGGGGGCGTAGCAATACAACCATGTGTGGGCGGTAACCTTCAAGAGTGTGGAAGGGAAAAAGAAGCCGCTCGCCGCGAGCGAGCTCCGGGTCAAGGGGGGCCGGTGCATCGTTGTCGACCCGAGCAACCAAGATAGACGACTGAAGCTCCACGTGCTGCTTCACTTCGTTCCTGAGGACGAAGTGCATTTATTTGGCTCTGGCGTCCTATGGAAAGGTCAAAGATGTCGCCATGGACCGGTGGCGCGCCCAAGGGTGTGCCGGCGGGTCGTCGACGACACGGTAGGTGTCTCTAAGGCTCAAGGCAGAAGTCACGGCGGACGCCCTCCCTCACCAAATGCGGGTCGCTGGGGACCTGACTCTTGTGGTTGTTCCGGGCCTGGCACCGTTTTCTCTACGGTGCCGTGGGAAAGGCCATATACGGCGTGAGTGTCGCGTGCCGCGCTGAGCACTTTGTCTCGGCTTCGGCGACGAGGAAAGCCAGCACGTCAATAGTTACGCGACCGTTGTGGGGCCCGTGGAGAATGAGGACGCGTCCAAGCACCTGATGAACGCGACCGAGCCCGAAGGCGCTGCTGACGGAGCAGGGGGACCGCCACTCTCAAAGGCAATGCCGCCTCAGGGCGCCGAAGACAGGAATGGCAGCCGGGGCGAGGACGAGAACAGTCTGCTATCCGAAGCACAGGCTGCGGGTGACGTGTCTGCAGCGGAAGGCGTTTTTAAGACCCACAGCTCGGTGCTGTGGCGACGCCCAACAAGGAGCCGGAGGACTGGAGCGTTGACGAGGCACGATCCAGCGGCGCAGTCGCCAAGCGGGCCCGCGAGGAAGCCGTTTTCGAAGGACTGAATGCCAGCACGGCTCTCCACGAGGAGCCGCCTCCAAAAGCGGCTTCGGTGCTACGAGTAAGCTTCAAGTCCAAACCCAACATTCCAACAGAGCGACGTCAAATGGCGACATCAGCATAATAGCTGTGATGGCCCGTGCTCCGTTCGGCAACTCTTTCCGAGCTGAAGACGGACGTTACTACGAGAGGGCGAGGGCCCCGCGTTTGTTCGTCGATGACCTGGCAGACGCGGTCGATGGGTTCTTTCGGCTAACCTGACTGCCGGCGAGGCATCCGGTTTATTAGTACATCGTCTTTGCAGTGAAACCGAGGTAGGTACCATGCGGCCCGTTTGATCTAACGATTACATTGCAGCAAGTTTTGAAACCGCTCTTCGTGTAGCCACGCCCAACGTGCGAGGTCTGTCAGCAAGGCGCCGACAGTATCAACTCAGCCGCCTTCTCCTGGAAGACAACCTGGGCGTAGTTGATATTCAAGAAACAAAGATGGAAAGCCAAGCAAGAGCAAACGAACCGAATGGGGCAACATTTCGAAGCTCGCTACAATCTATATGTATGCCACGCGGTTGATCTGGGGGTTACGCTCTTTTTCTCTATAATTCTTTAGATATTGTAGTAGAAACCGTAGTTGTTTGCGATACTGGAGGTTTGTTTGTGATTTTTTTTTTTGGCTACCAGTAGCGGGTAGACTGCGTGTACGCGCCAAATTTAAAAGGGTGATAGAAGAGTTTTTTTTTTTTTTTTTTTATCGCGTTGCTTCTTACTTACATTGTGAAAGAATTGTTACATTGTTGGGGGATTTGTATCTGTTTCCTCTGCAGCGCATACACGGTTAAAATATTTAACCGTGTATGCGCTGCAGAAGATACAGTACGTAATTTGCTTGAGCGGGATCAAAGCACCCTTTTATTGAACTTTTTAGTGCAAGAGTATAATATGGAGGACTTTGGCTGTTTTTTGTGTAATTCTTTAGTTCCACAATTTACGCATTTTCAACGAGAGATTCACGCGCGATTAGATAGATCGTATGTTTCAGCGGGCCTGGTTCCGCTGTGTCAGAACTACGAGGTTAAACACGTATCTTTTAGTGACCACAGTTTAGTCACTTTCACAATTGGAAGAAAAGAAACAAAATCGCGGTTTAACTAGGAACTGTGGAAATTCAATGACAAGTTGCTGAAAGATGAAACTTTTGTTGGCGGAGTAGAGGAGAGCCTTAGAAACCAGCTTTCTGTGGAGTCGAGAAGTTTTGTCAAACTTTGGAAGCATTTATAGGCTGAAGTCAAAATGAAGGAGATTGAAAGATTATGTACATTACGTCGTCTAGAAAAAGAAAATGATATTGAACTGTTGTGTCAGCTGGATTTTCTGGTAAGCGATGAAAGTGCGCGACCCCGTGCGTTTATTAACGAAATAAAATAAGTAAACAGTAAAATAGAGCTTATCGATATCAAAAGATACAGAGGGGCTGCGATAAGGGCCCGCGCTGAATGCCTCTTTCTAGGTGAAGCGCCGTCCAAGCCCTCGCTTGGGGAAG